AAACGGGTTCAGATGTGTTTCTATTACAAATACGCATCCTGGCGCTTCAGATTGCTCTCCGGTGCCATGAAAAACATGTGCAGGTGCATCCAGAGAGAATCTGAGGCCAGCTAACTCGAGCAAGCAAAATACCATTGACCAAAGACCAGGTCTTTCTGGTCTCCCGAGGCACATCTAAGCAGGGATTTCTAGGATCCAGACAACAACATTATCAGGCTGTGATGAGGGAAATGGACTCCAAATTTCAGATGAGTCTCCCACAGCATTTGTGACTTCACCTTTAGTCCCCAGGGAGAATGAAACTTCAGTCTGAATAGAGCTGCCGGATTTTCAGGAGCTTAAACCATTGCACAAATATTGAATAGAGGTTGTGAGAGAGGCTCCAAGGTCAGCAAACCTTAGCAAATGTGCATTCTTAAGAGGCAACATGAAGCAGTAAAATAATTGGGAAGCAGGGAAAGATGCAGAGTCAGGTCTGAGTCCCGCTCTGCCACTCTCCAAGAACCCTTTGTCTTCTCCCTCTCTCTATCCTGGGATGATCACGTGTGTTTTGCAAGATTGTCTTAAGAATGAGAAGTAACTAACTTCTCAAGTGCCTGACACTTCACAGTGGCTCTTCTCATCAAATTCACTTTCACAGAATCAGAACCAGATGATCAGCCCACAAGAAAAGAAGTGGCAAGAAGCAACGTGCCCTTATTCAGCTTGAAATCCAACTGGAAGGCAATCCAGTAAGGATGGAAATGCCGGAGGCAAGCTGCTCAAATGGGAAGATGTGAAAATTCCCCCACCCTGGCTCGTTCTCTCTCTCTCTCTCTCTCACACACACACACACACAAACTCATGTGCACCCTCTTTCTTCACAACGCAGCAAAGGCACTAGTACTGAAATGGCAGCCACACAGCAACAGAAGCTGATGCCCAAAGGAGGCTTCAATTTGCTGCTCACCCACAATGTCTCAGTTCATGTTTCCAGCATACTAATGATTCTCTCGATTGTTATTAGTTAATTCAGAACAAACAGTGGGAAAACTCAGTGACATTTCGAGGGGAATACCAAATGAACTCGAGCTGAACCATCACATCAGCCCAAGGAGTGTGACGACGTGGGAATGAAACAATATAGGCTCCTGCCAGCCCCGAGGGCAGAGATACAAAGCGTGGGATTCAGTGTGGCTAACTCCCCAGGAGAGATTTCACAAGCGCCAGGTCCTCTAAAACATGAAAATCACACAGGCTTCTCCCAAAACGGAATCATGCACAATGTGTGGAAGGTTTGGGAGCGCTGGCTGGCTGCCCACCTGGCCCTGGACTAAGTTGATCTGCACAGCCAGACCAACAAGTATATGCAAATACACCAATAGCAAGGTGAAGCTGAGGGAGAAGAAACTGCAAACACTGCGCATAATGGCAACTGGCCAGAAGGTGCTTCTTGGTCGGACTATTGTTGAAGGAAAATATAAAAGGAAGAGTCAGCTTCCCTCGTCCAACAAATCTCAGGACCAAAACTGTTTCTCCCTATCAGGAATCACTGACCACCTCTTCAGTGCCCAGCACTGGGATGGCAGTTGTGGTGGATTCCAAAGAAACGCAGCCCCTGCCCTGGAGAAGCCTCGTGTCTGGTTGGGAATACAGAAAATTAGCCCTTGTGGAAAAGGCATGTTGCAAGAGTGTGCACCTCCCAAACCCACATCCATGCCTTGTTCCTTTGTTAGCCCAGCACCTCGCATTGCTAAGTGACTGGCTAAACTGGAGGATGGCCAAGTTCAGACTTTCATGTTCTGTTGCCAAGATGTAAGAACTAAGCAAGCAGAAAGTCTGATATAGCTACAGATGGTCAATCTTCCCAGGAAATGGGGAAAGAGGGTGAGCTGTGATAGACAAAAGAGAACATTCCAGAAAGGAGGAGCAGCACATAAAAAGACACAGTATAAGAAAGTCTAATCCTATGTGTTGACTGTTTCTTAATGTGTGGTCCACAGACCACCCACAGTGGATTTTGGCCTCAGCAACTGAATTCAAATCTCCTGAGCATGGAGCCCAGGAATTTGCATTTCTAATAACCACCAATGGTCTTTTAATGCACAAAAAAATTTAGCTGGCTAAGGGAACCCAAGATGTAAACAGATATATACTCTTCCCTTAAAGATAGGAAGAAAGAAAAGGGGATAGAGAAGGAAAAGGAGGAAGGAAGGAAGAAAGAAAAAGAAAGTTTTAAAATGTTAAAGTATAGAAAACTTGGGAAGAGGAGCCAGAATCCCCGGCCGGCCTTTGCAATGACTGTTGTGTGACATAGAGACAAATCTGAAGAGCGCCCACGGCACATGTTTATGGATGATGAAAGGCCCTCCCAGCCCTTCATTAGCAGATTTTTGCTCTATCCCAGGGCAGTAAAGTGCTAGTGCAGGTCCCCTTGTTCATAATTCCACCATTCATGTAAAACACGACGGGGAAGTCTGGGAGCCATCCAAATCTCCTAACCACTCCCTAATCCCCCATGTGAGATTTGTCCCCAGATTGTGCCAATTAACCTCTATGTGATTCCCATATCTGCCCACACTGCTCCATCCTCATTGCCCCAGTCACTATCCTCCACTGGATTGTTGCAGTAATTGTTCATGGGACGCCCTGTGTTATCTCCTTCAATTGCCATTCAGCCTCCCACCTCCCAGAATGATGCTTGTAAATGCAAATTTGATTAGTATGCATGTTGCTTACAACTCTTCAAAGGCTCCCAATAGTCAAAACCTTATTGTAACATATGAAATCCTCTCTACTGATATGGCCCTGACTACTGTGATCCTTGTCTCCTGTTTCTATCCAATGGGCTAGGCTCTATCCATACATTACTTGCCATTTCCTAATGGGCCATCAGTTTCTTCCCTCCCTGTGACTGCACATTCTATACAGTTCTTCTGCTTTCAATGTCCTCCCTCCTGTGTCCCTCCCAATTCCAGCCACTTGCAAAACTCTCTTACCCTTCAAGATCCAACTCTGACATCCCTTCCTCTGGAACCTTGATACACACCCCAAGGAGAGTTGATCACTTCATTCTTATTAACACTGTCCCCGTTTCCTTTAGAAAGGGAAAAAGAAGAAAAAACAAATGAGGCCGGGCGTGGTGACTCACGCCTGTAATCCCAGCACGTTGGGAGGCCAAGGCGGGCGGATCACGAGGTCAGCAGATCGAGACCATCCCAGCTAACACGGTGAAACCCCGTCTCTACTAAAAATACAAAAAATTAGCCAGGCATGGTGACAGGCGCCTGTAGTCCCAGCTACTCAGGAGGCTGAGGCAGGAGAACGGCAGGAACCCGGGAGGCGGAGCTTGCAGTAAGCTGAGATAGCGCCACTGCACTCCAGCCTGGGTGACAGAGTGAGACTCCATCTCAAAACAAAACAAAACAAAAAAACAAACGAAAGAGTCATGCAAAAAGAACCTCTTCTTAGAACAGTACCCAAACCCAAAGCAGGATTTTCTAGGACCATTTAGGATGGGGCCAGTGCTTCTTCCTTAGAATACTCCCTCCCAGTTATTCTCACCTCTACCTTAACAGTCACTTCTGAGCACTTTCCTGCTGGTCTCGGTGAAGAGCAGGATGTAGCAAAACTGCCCATCTCATGACCCTGCTTTCCATGCTCTCTGCAAAGCCTGAGGAACTCATCAAGCCTGGGTGACAGATTAAGACTCTGTCTCAAAAAAAAAAAATAAATAAAACTCATCAGATATTATACGGATATTGTATAGATATTGGCTACATCTAAATGATGCCAAAATGGACAGTGAAAAGGCAAAGAAAAAAATCAGCTGTTTATAGAAGCCAGCTCATTAAGTAAGGTAAAAACAATTACTGTTATTACACAACACCAAATGACTTGTCTGATTTTTTTCTCTGAATGGACCTCTGTGTGTGTGCCTGTGTATGTTTGTATCACGCAGACAGAGCCAGCGACTGACAGAAGAAATGTGCCCTGTGATACAGCCTCAGCCCAAATAGGCAAAGTCAGCAGGAAGATAGAACATTCAGCTGCTCGATGGTCCGGCATAGATGGGGCACTGGGAAATGTCTGGAACTAGATGCTTATCCCCTGGGACTTTTATGTAATCCACCACAGCGAACAAAGTAATGCCCATCATACCTTTGTGATTTACATTTGCCCAGGCTGGTTCACTTTGCTTACTGCTTTCTGCATCTCCTTTCTCTTTTCTCCATCAGTCTTAAAACTGCTTCCAAAGAGACTGCCCTCTTAAAAGTCTGCTGCAGCTCTGTCCTCCTGGACCAATACGACCCTATCATATGGGGCATTAAGTCCACAAGACCCTTGCTCTTGAGTTTTTAAAGCATTTCTTATTTCTCTTCCCTCATCCTTCCCTCTCCCTTTGGGAATCACAACATCCTAACGCGTAACACCAGAAATACTTGAGTCCACACCAAGACTACCACAGGACCCGGGCCAGACTCTCCTGCACTTTGGGAGGCCGAGGTGGGAAGACTGTTTGAGCCCAGGCGTTCAAGACTAGCCCGGGCAACAAAGTGGAGACCTGGTCTCTACGAAAACTAAATAAATAAAATAAACATTTAAAAGGACGTTAGGTAATTTGCCCAAAGTGGCAGAGGTAGTAAGTAAATATTAATGCACTCGAAATTGCTAAATTACGAATTTTATTGATGGATGCTCGTTTTAATTGAAAGCATGGAGGCTGTGGTCTGACTGCTTTCGCTTCCAACAAAGTGTACTGCCGCGCTCCAAGCAGAAGATAAACAGGGAGACAGGTGTGACTTCAAGAGAGCGACGGACGCTGTAACCCGAAGCCCCCGCGCCCGCCGAGGCCCGGGAGGCTGCCCCAGCCGGCCGGACTGCGCACTCCTGCAGGGCTGGCGCGGCTCTCGCTTCCAAAGTTGGAGCTCTCCGGGGTGGGAGGGGGCGGGGAGGACGGCGGGGCGGTGACGTCACTCCCAGCGGGGATAAAGCGCCCCCGCCCGGGTCGCAGCCAGGACGCTGCCCGGCGCGGAGTGGCTGCCCCGCGGCGCGGGGACACTCAGAGCCCGGTGGGCAGGAGGAAGGCGACATGCCCCAGACGGTGGTCCTCCCGGGCCCGGCGCCCTGGGGCTTCAGGCTCTCAGGGGGCATAGACTTCAACCAGCCTTTGGTCATCACCAGGGTAGGTGTCGGCGTTCTTGCTTTTGCTGCGAGGTGGGGACGCGGTGGGTGCCCCGGGGCCGAGGGCGGCTGGAAAGCGCGCGCGGGCTGGCGGACGGGGCGCTGCTGGGTCCCGGGCTTCAGCGTCCAGCTCCGGGGGCGGCGGCAACTCAGTCAAGTGGCTGCAGAGCGACTCAGAGATTGACAAAGTCCGCTCTAAAGGTGTCCCATCCTCTGGGTCCGCAGCGACTTTCCGAGGAGGGCCCCTGGGCTCAGGGAAGGCGAGGCTGCCAGACTCGATGCATCCTCGCCTTTACGTATTAAATGTTTGTATGTGATAACAGAAATAAAACACATCCCATCGCCCTTCCGTAACAAATGATGGGTCCCGGGTGGGAGAGACGAGGGATGGCGCCCCCGGGCATTCCCTGGAGCTGGCGCGCAGCTGAGCATTTTCCTCGTCCGGATGAAAACTTCAGCAGCGCGCTGTTCGCGGGGCACGGCCTGGGTTGGCCACACTGGAGCAGCTCCTATCAGCCCAGACAGGGGAAATGTTCCTAATGCGTGCTCCTGAGTTTCCAGGCACTTTGAACACATGTTTTCCAAAGCTGAGAACTTGGCTTAGCAATCATCAACCTGACTCCAGCTACAAAGAAAACGTGGCAGTTTAGTTTACCTGGTGCAGAGTAAACCACTCAGCCTAAAAACGGAAAATAATGCTTTAATATCAAAATCAAGCTTTACTTAGTGTTCTCTATTGTATGATGAGAAAACAAGGTAAAAATAAAACCTCAGGGTTTCTCTCTTATCAGTAAATTGGAAGAATTCTAAAGCATTACTTGGTCTAGTTGATTTTTTTCTAACAATGTTTTTCTTCATAGAAAATTAATGTATTATTTCAGTTGTCACATATAAAACATTTAATACCTAAGGGCGTAAACTTTCAGAATATTATACTTTTAGTTTCAGAGTATTATACTTTATTTTCTTGTATTCTCGTGCCATATCTTATAAATGTATATGTTGTAATCTGATTGATCTCATACAGATTTTGAACAAGGTAATACCTTTTAAATTCTGTTTTATTTGTATATGCCTATGAGAATTGGGAACCAACATCCTTTTAAAAATATGTCAAAACATGTATCCTACAGACGCATACAATGGAACGTTTCAAGCCTTGTTTTACATTTTTCAAAAACATATAAACACATCTGACATGTGTTTTTATATGAAACATGAAAACTGTTCAACATACCCCCAAAAATGTTCCTGAGTAAATTAAGCAGAAAATGCTTTAGTGACCTGGGCCAAGCAATTCCTATTATAGATTTACCGAAAAAAAAAAAAAAAAAACCAGTTTCCATTATATCTAGTAAGAAATATTTTTAGTTTCTGGAGTATAGTTTTTATTTAAATTGAATAAACTTTTGAATTCTAACACAGAATAAATCATTAAATTCTAACAAAATAATTTAGTCACGAAAATCTTTTAAGGTATTTATAAAAGAAATATTTTGCTATTATAGTATAATTGTATGTCAATATAAGTAATGATATGCTTGAAATTTTGAGTTGTTGACATTATAAATGTTTATTTTAAATCAGTGCTTACATTCCAGAGTTGGCCTACAATAGCTATTGGTAAATATATTTGATATAATGACAATTATTATTAGGGAAACCAATTCTATCTGGAATTTCTAACTCATAACTAATTCGTATCACTCATTTTGACATTTGGTTTAATAACAGTTTATGACCAAATATTATTTCACTTGATTATGCCTTTTCTCTTTAATTAATTCCAGGACAGCAGGTAAAACCAAATTATTTTTGTATCCCAAGTGTCCCTAAAGCCAGGTACATAGTAGATTCTTATTGAATAAATAAGAATATTCATTTATTTATTCAATAATAACTTTTATGCTTTAGTGAACACCTAATTGAGAATATTTTCACTGAAATGATAAGAATACTGAAATTTGTTAAGAAAAAGAATAAAAAGTATTACAGAAAAGTATTACAGAAAAATAACTCAGTATTGTTAAACGGTGAATTGTTGTACCGCTTTTAACATTTTTACACCATTTTGAAAGGTAGTATGTGAGGTTGCAAGTGTGTTATTGTACTCTTCTGCTTGCCGGGCATTGATGGGAACCTTTTATATGCACGAACTCACTGAAATCTCACAATAATCTTTAGGAGAGTAGCAGTAGTGACGTCCCCTTTTGCAAATGAGGAGAATGAGGCTTTAAAAGATTCATTAACCCGCGGACGGTCGCAAGCAGTGGAACAGGCTCTGATGGTGGCTCTGCCTGCGTTCTGAAGGCCACAGGTGAAAATGGACACTTGTTCCGATATTTCCAAAGAGGTGTTTGCTGCCATCCTCTTCATCACTGGCCTTATTGATTCTGTCTTCAAGATCTGCCACTTTCCATTTTTTCTACCACTGTCCTTCTTCAAGCTTTCCTAGCTCCACACCTAGACATTTGTCTCCCCCGTCCAATTCACACAGCATACTCTTACCGTCTCTGGAAAATGCCAAGTTGCTCCTTTCTCATTCTTAAAAATCCTTCAGTGGCATCACTGGTTTGTAGAGAGTGAAATGTGTGGCTTTAGCATCACATTCATGACTTTTTACCATCTACTATCCCAATTTGAGTTGCTAACTTCATTTCTTTCCTCTCCCTTCGTTTTCTCTTTCTTCCCATTGCTCCACACGTAGGCAGTGGGGCTGTCCTCTGGACTGCTTATGGTTTCCCTGACATGTGTTTGCTCCTGATACCATTTTTCCCCAGATTTCTTTTCCCTACACCACACCACTGTCCTCTATGCCTGTGGAAACCCACTTCAACGCCTCTCCCCAATCCTTCTTTCAGTAACAACCATCTCATCCATTTGATTACTGTAGCTTTCGGCCTGTGTAACCCCTCCTTATGTCATGCCTGTACCAGATGTTTCACTGCATCTGTATCCCACCAAACTGCACATTCCCCGAAGGCGGGAACCTTCTAATTTGAGGGTCATTCAGGGCTTAGCACAGTGCCTAGTAGATCATATGTATTGTAGAATAAATATAGACACAGTATGAATGATTGACTAGATTGTCCACTTTTTACAGAACTATTACAAGTAGGTACAGAATGTGTTCTCAAAAATATTTCACAAAAAGATAAGTGAGAATTGTTCTATTGTTAGTTGATTTGTCATGTTTTTGTTTTGTTTTGTGCTTTTGAAACAGAGTCTCGTTCTGTCACCCAGGCTGGATTGCAGTGGTGCAGTCTTGCCTCACTGCAACCTCCATCTCTCAGGTTCAAGCGATTCTCCTGCCTCAGCCTCCCTAGTAGCTGGGACTACAGGCACCCGCCACCACACCCAGCTAATTTTTGTATTTTTTTTTTTTTTTTTTTAAGTAGAGATGGGGTTTCACCATGTTGGCCAGGCTGGTCTCAAACTCATGACCTCAGGCGATCCGCCCTCCTCAGCCTTCCAAAGTGTTGGGATTATAGCCGTGAGCCACCACGCCTGGCCAATTTGTCAGTTTTAAATAAGTTCTTAATATACAAAGAATTGAAATACCAATGTCTGTACTTAAAGCCACAAAAGGTCCCATAAATGAGATGTGTTTAATCAAGTCCCCATTAAATCAGCTTTTGTCCTCTTACAAGCTATACCATTCACTCCCCGCCTCACACTATACAAATACAGGCTACAGCAATACTCCTAGACAATGGGGCTCCAACCAGAGTTTGTAGGAGAGTGACAAATATAACTGCCTCCATCAATTGAAATTACAGTTCTCAAAATTAGGACACAGAGCCCTCACCCCTGTAATTGTTTACAATCCAAATAATCAGCCAGATGAATCTTTGTATTATTAAAAGAATCAAAAGTAAGGTAAGTCAAACACCAGACATTCTCAAAACAAATTTTTAGCAACTGCTTGTGATAAACACAATTTTTAGGAAAGCAGTTTCTAGGCAATAAGAGTGATAGACCTTGTGCAATATAAAATTTCAGTTTTGGATGTTCAGTTTAGGGGAGGGAGTTGTTATTTCGAACACCATATATAACTAGCCTAAGCATTTCACAGAAGAATTTTAAGGTTCACTTCTTTAAGTGAGCATCTTTTCTTTTTTTTTCATAAAACCTTCTACAAAGTCTAAGTTCTTGGACCATCCAGAAGCTAGGTCTACTCTCACAGACAAGTTACAGATCATTTGCTTTGACAAAATTTCAGTATGGAATACAGTAATCCCCTCTCATCCACAGGGGACACATTCCAAGATCCCCAGTGGTTGCCTGAAACCTACATTAGTACCAAACCCTAATTATATATATGTGTTTTTTCCTATGCATGCATACCTGTGATAAAGTTTAATTTATAACTTGGGCACAGCACTCCTGCACTTTGGGGCCATTATTCAGTAAAATAAGGGTTGCTTGAACACAAGCACTGCAATACCGTGACAGCCGATCTGATAACTAAGACTGCAAAGTGATTCACGGTGAAGAGTGTAGCATAGACAATGTGGATACGCTAAACAAAGGGATGATCCATGACCCAGGTGGGACACAGTAAGACTTCATCACGCTACTCAGCACAGCTGCAATTTAACACTTATGAGTTGTTTACTTCTCAAATATTCCAATTACTTTTTGCAGGCTGCAGTTGGCCTCGGATAACTGAAACTGCAGAAAATAAAACCATGAATAAGGGGAGGCTAGTGTACAGGGCAAGCTTCTTTTATGTCCATGACATAAAATGATTGTCTAGGTCTGATGCCAGTGTGTCTTTTCTCACTCAGTTTCTCTTTCCCCTCTTCTCCTCCCTCCTTCCTATCCAGAGCACATCTAAGATCAGGATCATTATAACTGAGAATGCTGTACGAGCTTGAGGACCAGTATAGAAAATGTTAGCATGTTCCTAATTTTCGCAGGCTTTAAGAGAGAAAAGTGTATGACTTTAAAATAAACTACATTTGAAATTTAATGTAATATAAACTACATTTGAAATTT